TCGGTGCGGGAGCCGCCGATCCAAACCCTCCCGCGTGGTCCTTGGTTCGCCACCGCCGAAGGCTTGCTCCGCACCCGGTGCCGTGCTCCGGTCTCGKCCTTCCCGTTTGTTTTATTCGTCGTCGACCTCGACCATCTGAACGGTCAGGCCCTCGTCCCTCAGGGAACCATAGTACAATTCCGCAATCTCGTAGTGGTAGCGCCCGACCACCCCCATTCTTCGCAACGAAAAAATGCAAGGAGCAAACAAACCAAGGAGAGAGAGAGAAAATAACACAGAATTCGGTGAGCGCTTGGTACACGGCACACAAATCAGTGCATGGTTTGTGGTCGAATGGGGTGGTTTCAAACACCCCCGCTTCGTTTGGCTTCCTTTCGTGGCGCGAAACAAGAGAACCGTTCCGTTCCGAGTTGGCCCTCCGTCGACTCCACTCACCCGTTTCGGTGGGCCTGCATCATGATCTGGTAGGACTCTCCGTCGGACTTTCCGCAGATCGTGCAGAGGCACTTGGCCACAAAGGTTCGGTGGTTGTAGGGGTCGTTGAAGAGCTGGATCTCCCAGCCGTTCTTTCCCGTCTTTTCGTCGCTCTCGACGTCCTCGTCCTTTACGATTTCGACCCCCGTCGACTCCTTCTGCTTCTCCTTGGCCGGGGCGTCCGCGACCGCCGAGAGGACGGCCGTCGGGACCGAGGCGTGGTGGTGGTGCGTCCGGGCCAGGGAAGCTGCCGGGGCGGTGAACCCGTGGGAGCTCCCGGCCGAAAGGACGGCCACGGCCAGGGCGAAAAGGGCCACCCAGAATGGGTTCTTTTTGTTGTTGTTGTTGGCGCGGGGGAAAAGCGAGAAGACCATCGTGTTGCTGCGGGAGTTGTGGTGCTGTGCAGTGCGTGCTGGGATTCTAGGAGCGGTGCGGTTTGATTTGATCCGATCCGATCCGATCCGATTCGATTCGATTCGATTCGATTTCTTGCGTCGCAATCGGCGATCGACAGAGAGTGCAGAGTGATCAGGAAATAGGAACAGGAGCAAACGAAACCAAAAGCGATGGACCCAACCGGTGTTGGATTTTTTGGTTTTGTACGAGCTTAGGCGTACGTGTACGAGCTTTACCGTGCAAGTACCTACTGCCGTAGAGAGTTTCCGGTGTTCTTTGGATTTGTTGCCACTGCCGTAAATTGTTATTGCTTGGTGTTCGATGCTGATGATGATGTATTTCCGTGAAAGCAAAGTACAAGTACGAAACYTAGAGTAGAGTACGGTACAGTACTGTAATTTACGTACTTTTCGTTCTGTACGTATTCGTACAGCGCTTTTCTTGGGCAGTCATATGGTACACATACCACCCAACGGATCGGATACCCGGACCGTGTAGCTACCGTATCCCAACGTACGGTACTTAGGTACGTTTAGGGTAGTAGAAACTTCACGTACCGTAGTACGGTGAAGGGGATGGGTTCTTCTACAGTAATGCTTAGTACTCGTACGCTAAGTCATCCTACGGTACTCTGCTTACGATTCTGGTGGCAAGCATGAACTATGCCGCCTGGTTGACACGATGTTGTGGATTGATTCATTCGTTCCTCGGTCCGGTTTCTGTCTTCTTCACAAACGATCTGTCGTGCGTGCGTGTCACCCGGGCTTCGTCAGCGAGCAAAAGAGGGACGGAAGCAAAATGGGGACTGACTAGTCCCCCCCCTGATTCCTTCGAAACTCTATCCCGCCCCCGCATTGAATGGGGTCTCCCTTTCGTCGATGGATTCATTCATTTTCATTCGCTCGAGTGGCTTCCGTCCGAACCCAGATCCCGGACACCATCCCCAAGAGCGGGCCGGCGGTTCTGCCAGCGTAGGAAAGGCCTACCTCGAGAAGCCACGCTCGCTGCCAGCAAAGCACACTAAGCCTATATAGGGTCGAATCTGTCCACCGGGGACAGTATTCAATGTAGATAAGGTACTGGACGTGCTTTGCCAGACCCAAAAAAAAGTTTCGGAACATCGGTGAAAGGCCTTGGTGACAGACACAATGACTCGAGAAACGGGCTTACTTAACGACAATATCCGGATCGGAAGCGTGCCAGAGATCCACTTTCTCACCCAAAGGACGAAATTCCTTCCCTTTTGCAACCGGAAAGGGCCTTCCGATCCGAACATGTGACATGGATTCGTTAGATGGACATACCGTACAACAATATGTACCGGTACCATACGAAACTGTTCGGTAGAAGTTTGACCAAAATCTTCTTTGCCGCGATCTTACGGCAAGTACTACGAGTTGTCACGACAGCCACCAAAATTTTAGTACATGCCTTGCGACTAGCCGTGCTAGGCGTACGAYGTTTTGTTGATTGCGGAGGCGTCAACATCTGTTCGGTCTACAAGTAGAAACAATCTTTTTCACGTACCGTACGGTTGTGTACTACTTGTACTGCACTATAWTTCAACCGCCACTTTTAGGATCCGATCCATTCTTCCCCTCGCCACCAGTCAACTGTTGCAGCAATCAACTCCAGTTCATTTCATTCCGTTCGATTCCATTTTATTTCGTTTAACTACCAGCGCCCATCCACCATGAAGTCCTTCTCCACGCTCCTCGCCATCGCCGCCCTCCCCTCCGCCCTCGGCGCCGGAAACGTCGACGGGAAAACCTCCAACTCGTGCGCCTGCGAGGCCTTGCGGTACGGCTTCAACATCAACTGCAGCGACCAGGCCGCCATGAACGCCGCCATTGCCGCCTTGGAGGCCAACAACTGCAGCAAGGACAGCGCCACCTGCAACGGTTCCACCGAGTGCATCAAGAACTTTCTGATCATCCAGTCCCACCACGACCACTGCTTCCACGAGGAGGTCCCGGAGATCATCGAGACGAACATCCACGTYTACGAGAACGTCTGCACGGACGCCCACTGCAACATCAACATGAAGTTCGACACGGAGGCCCGCAAGTGCCCCCCCGTGGACTGCGAGACTTCCGTAGGCGACGACGCCTGGCAGGTCATGTCCGTCTCGAACTGCAAGGASGACTGCTCCAGCTCGGACTGCGCGAACAACTTTCGGATCATCAAGGCCGTCCACGACTCGTGCCCCCGGGACACGCTCTCGACGGTGGTGGAGATTGCCTACCACGACGTCGACGAGGCCTGCGACGCCTTTGGCTGCAACCTCGCGGTGGCCRCGSAMGACTCGAGCGASCTCATCTGCGACGACCTCTCCTTCATCTCGGCCGGGGAGGGCCCCCAGGGCACCGGGCTCGCCGCGGTCCTGGCCRGCGGGGTTGCCGCGGCCGCCCTCTTGTAGGCCCTGCCTCGCTTGGCAATCCATGGCGTCGCCGGTCAGGAACTTCCGGAGTGCACTGATTTGTGAAAAACCACGACAAAAATCGCAGAGAAACGATGCGGTGGTATGAAAACTATAGAAAACCAATTGTTTATTAGCTTGTAGAAGCGATCTCGCTTTTGGTTCCGGAGACAAAATTCGAAAAACTTATTCTACATTTTCGCGAAAATAAAGTTTKGGGCATTCGTAGCATTATATCGTGTTATTTTTTTCTATCGACAAATCGAACAGCATCCCTCGCYGTTCCATTTCTTCGACGCATTCCGATCATGTTGTAACCGGTGTCCGATAGATCTATATTTATTTTTTCTGGCTGGCGTCTTCCGAATCCGGCATCTCGCCGTCKTCAGCTTGCTCGGTTTCTTCCTTTGTTTCCTGGGTCGTATCTCCAAAGAGTGGCTTGGTTGCTTTGCCCGTTCCGCCAAAGCCCTGCGACGGAGCCGGCGACGAAAATGCATTGAACATGGTCATCTTCGGAGTGGTGGCAGCACCGGGTGTTGGAAGGGTGATCGAAGAGCCRGAAGTTCCGAACGAGAACTGGGGAGGCCCGGATCCGGCTGTGCTCCCGGGRGGCTTGATGTTCAAAAAGGCCGCGCTGCCGAAACCGGTTGGTGCCGGTGCTGCAGCAGATCCGGTCTCGGYTTTCTTTCCACCACCGAAGACGGATGTGGTTGTTGCTGCCGAACCGAATCCAGTGCCTCCTGATCCAAAGGCGGAGGACGTTCCGAACGACGTAGCGGTTGATCCTGAGCCAAAGACACTGGYSGCTTTTCCGAATCCGCTTCCAAACGTCGTTTGCACCGGTGTCCCTCCTCCAAATATCGATGMTGCGGATGGTCCTGCACTGGCAACTGCCGGTGTGTCSGCCTTGGGTGGCTCGGGAGCTTCTTCGCCCTCTTCCATTTCACCTTCCTCGGCGGACAATTCCGGGCCGTCTTCTTTGCTACTTTCTGTCGTGTCCTTTGCTTGGGTTTTCGCTGCCATCTGCGCTGCAGCRACTTTCAGCAAGCTTGCATTGGGAACAAAGGATGGTGCCTTGGGACTTAAACTGGACGCCTCGGATTTCGACTCTGGTTTCGGCGCCACCTTTTCTGTAGCGCCATCACTCTCGGTTTTGTTGCGTTTTGTCTCTGGTTCGGTGGACACTGGCTCCGTKGGCTTCGCATCTTCTTTCTGAGAATCCTCCTTAGCTCGTTTCAATTCCTGGAGTTTTCTCTTCTTCTCCAAAAGCTTCTCCTTCAAACTCATTTGTTTCAACTCCCCAGAGGTCCTTCGATTTGGAGGGGCCGGTCGAGTCGGGCTAGATTTAGGGCTTAGTTTTGGGCTCCGTGCGGCCTCGTTTGCAGTCTTAGGCTCACTCTCTCCAGCAGGCTTCTTCTGCTGGACGGGTGCTTCAATGGTTAGCTCAGTCGCCGGTCGTTTCTTCGGGTTGCCCTTTTCCACCGGTTTACTCGGTGCAAACTTGAATCCTCCAACAGGCACCTTCGGCATCACCTTCTTCTCGACTACTGCTGTGGTCTTTGATTCGGTTGTAGAAGGAGTCGTGCTTGTCGTAGCTGRCTGCTTCTGGACGGCGACAGYAGRCTTGGTAGTYACAGGCGGATCTTTCGCTGCCGCATCAACCGGAGTGGTAGCAGCTTTGGTGGCCACTGCGCTTTCTTTTTCCTTCAATAGCGCCACAGCTTTGGTTCCTTTTTGTTCAATCTTGGAACGCGCTTCCTCCAATTGCTTGGTGAGTGACGTCTTCTCTTTCCTTAGATCAATGATTTGTTTCTGAAATTCTCTCAACCTATTTCTCAGTTTTTCATTCATCTCCCTGGATCCCTTTGCTTGGATCTCTTCGGCCTTTCGTTCCTCTTCTAATTTTGCCGTTTTCTGCTTCAAMTCGTCAATTTCCTTCTTCGAGACGGATTCCTTTTGCGCCTTGACGAGCGCAGCCTTTTCTGCCGTGAGCTTTGTGATGGACTTTTTGTGGGTCTCCACGAGTTGCTTGTTTTTCGAGAGCTCAGAGCTGGCGCGGCTGGCAAGAGTCCTGATTCTCTTCGACTCTTCCTCGGCATAGGATTTCTTCTCTTCGAGCGATTTTACCTGCTTTTCGAGTTCTTCTGATTTTTTGACCACCTTCAAGTGCTCCTCTGGATCTACCTGGTTGAATTTGGATACCAAACTCTGAACCCGACCCTTCCAATCGTCGATTTCGCGAAGCAGRCTGTCTTTCTCGGCAAGCAGCACTGCCTTGTCGGATTCGAGCTGTTTCTGTTTGTCAGCCGAGGGTTGCAATGCCTTCTTGGACTCTTCGACTTCTTGCTTGGCKCTTGCAAGATTGGCCTCCAAGTCTTGCACCTGCCGTTGCAGATGGGCATTGCTGTCACTGAGCAATCTAGATTGTTCTTCTGCTGTCTTGAGCTTATCGGCTCCTTCATCGGTAGCACCGTTGGWTTTATTCTSCAACGATTCTCGGAGCACATCCAGCTCGGCCTGTGTTTCCTCCACAGTTCGTCTGGCAACGGCTGCCTTTGTGCGTTCCCTTTCTGTGGAGCGCTTGGCGGAATCCAATTGGAGCTGAATGGAATCTTTTTCKGCACGCACAAACTTCACGAGTTCTCGAAGTTCCGAAACAGTCATTCGTAACCTAAACATTTCTTCGTCTCCGGTTGCATCCTCAGGTTCGGCGTCGGCGGCTTCCGATTTCAGTGTGTGGCGAGACTGCATCTTCTCGACCTGCTCGTTGATTTTCTCCAACTGAGAGTGGAGAAGCGTGTTCTCGGCACGGGTAGCGTCCATTTTTGTTGTAAATTCTTTCTCGGCTTCTTCGCGCTTCGTCTTCTCAACCTCGAGAATGGAATCCTGGATCTTATACTTGCTTTCYAAGGCTGCTAGCTCTTCGATTGCATCGTTTCTCAGACGATTGGCCTTCTCGTTTTCTTCGCGTGCCAATCGCAGACTTGTACGGGCCTCTGCATGCAATGTGAGTTCACGCTCGTAGTTGCCTTGTGCCGCCACGAGGTCGCTYTGAACGACATTGACGTCGTTCTGCAGCTGGCAATAACGGTATTCGGCGTCCTCTGCTTTCTTTTGGTAGTTTTCGGCTTCGGTTTTGAWTCCGGTAATTTGCTGCTTGACTTCATTCACTGCCTTCTCTCGCACCTCCCGCTGGGTGGCAAGGTCGTTGGTAAGTTCGGTGATTATTTCTTTTCGTTTCGACATTTCCGTGTTGATGCGTTCTAGTTCTTCCTTGAGTTTTGTATTGTCGTCCTCTTGCAACTTCTTGGATGCGTTCGAGGCCTCAGTCATCGCAGAAAGGGCATCCTCGTTGTCYTTCGCAAGCTTTTCATACGTTGCMGCTCGCTTTTTCCACGTTTCTACTTCCGTCTTGGAACCTTCCAAATCTGTAGTGATGGATTCCAGTTTAGTTCTAAGTTCCGATTCAATATCTGGTAGACTATCTCCTTCCGTTACTCCTAGTTTCTTCTTGGCGGCTCGGAGTTGGCTCTCCAAGATAGAGCACTTCTTCGTCGCGGCATCCGCTTTTTGGACAGCAAGCAGAGATTCCTTTTTCGCCTCGAGGGCCTCCTTGGTTGCCTTTGCACGTGCGCTTTCCAGCTGWGTGACTTGGAGTTCCTGATTAGATATCGTTTCTTTCAGAGCATTCGTACTAGCCTCTTCTTTCTGTTTGGYAGACTCAATGTTCTCCTTCAGAGCAGAAATYTCGAGCTTGTACGCTTCAACATCAGCGTTGTTTTTCATCAGCAATGATGATTCGATTCGCTGGACGCCGTCCAAGACAGCCTCCCGCCTCGACAACTCACTCCGGAGCTGGCTCGACTCTTCCGAAACGCGTCGTTCTGCTGCCTTGGCAGATTCRGCTTCCGCTTGCGCCAGCATTAGCTTGGACTGKACATTTCGCAACTCGTCTTCCATTTTGGAGCGTTCCATATTGGCCTTGACAAGTGACTGCTCGAGGTTGGTGTTGGTGGTCATAATCAGATTTTTTGAAGCCGTCACGTTTTTGATTTCTTCCCTGTTCCGTTGCTGTGTCTCTTCCAGTAACTGGGCCCTGTCTTTGAAAAACACTGCCTCTGCTTGGCTTCGTGCCACGGCGGCAGCGTTCGCATCGATCTCGTTCTTGGCCTTGTCGATGGATTKCGTCARTTCGTCGTTCAGCATTTCGTACCGCGCGAGGCGTTCCGAAGCGGCTTCCTGGTCTCTGGCCAWTAGRTCCAAACGAGCCTGGGCCGCGGCGTGCTCCTCGATCAGCTTGTTGTGTTTTGCCTCCAGTGCCTTTGTGCGCTCCGATTGCCCCCTGACAACCGCTAATGCGTTGCTTTCGTCTTCTCCAGATCCTAGCAAGTTTGTGTCTTGCTTGTTCAGGATGGCACGGTACAGATCGCGTTGCTGCACAATTTTTTCTACCATGCCTTCCTCCCGCTTGCGCTGCTCTTCCAGGGACGCATTTTCTGCCTTGAGATCTTGGATTTGTTGGTAGAGGCCATCGTTCTGCGAGAGTGAAGTTTCTAGTTCCTTCACCTTGGTCGTCAAAGCGTTGTATTCCTTCATCAATCGTGTATTGGCCGCTCCCATTTGCGAGACCGTCAGAGCCACGTTGGGATCGGATCCGCCCGAGCTGCTGTTGGCAATAAGCATGTCCCGTACCTGTTTCGCCAATATCTTTGCCTCCTCGGTCAAATCTTTATTCTCTGCTTTCAACCGGTTTACCTCGCTCTCTAAGATGTCGGATTCATTGCGGATCGCCGCGGTCTCGCCCTGAGAATTCTCGAAGCGGGTTCGAAGTTCCGTCAGTTGCTGGAGAGCGTGCTCGTACTCTTTTCGCTGYCGAATCAAGAGAGGGGCATTAGCCTCGATCTCCTCTTCGATGCGAGAGACTCGAATTTCTGCTTTTTTGCGGCGGATAGTTTCGGCATGCAGWGCGTCCTCGGCCTGTGCTACACGTCCATAGAGGTCCGTCAGATTAAGAGGCTCGTCTCCGTTTTCACCGTTGCCCTCAGAGGGGGGGAGTGCTAGTCGTGGACGTGCTTCTTTACTCTCAGGAGCATCTTCGATCAACATCAATCCATCTTCAGCGCGCTTGCAACGGCTGTTGGCGGCCTCTAGTTCTTCCTTCATCGAGAGGATTCGRTTCTCGAACTCTTCGGCCTGTGCCTTCAGGTTGTTTCGTGCGACATCCATGAGCGTCGATTCGCGTTCCTTCCACCGGGCAAGATCTTCGGTCTCGGCKTCCTCTGCCAGGGCCTTCGTSGAATCCAATCGTCTCGCGAGGGCATCGTGTTTTTGCTCCAATCGGATCAATTGCTCCTTTTGCAGRTCGACCAATCGACGCGAGGCCGTCAGTTCTTGCTCCGAATCGAGCTTRACATCGCTGGCCTCTTGCTTTGCCTCCATGAGCTGACGGGCCAAACCCTGTGCTTTGGTCTCGACCTTCTCGAGTTGTTGCCGCAGTTGATTAGCTTCGATGGCCAGAGCGTCTCGCTCGGACTGGGCAGTATCCACGCTAGCCCGGGACCGTGCTGATTCCAGGGCCGTGCTCGATTTCAGCTGGGATAGGGCCTCGGCTTTTTTAGAGAGTTCTCCCTCTAACCAGGTSGCATGTGTTCGAAGCCGTTCGTTTTCGTTTTCCAGGCTCTGGGTTTTGAGTTGGAGAGGAAAAAGTGAGGAGCCATCGAGTTTCGCCTGGGCTTCGGCCTCGGCTACTTGTTTTTGATAGGTCAARTTGGATTTCGTTAGATGRCTTTGTTGTGTTGATTATCATGGAAGAAAGRAAATTTGTTGTTGTGTTACAGTTTGAATTCAATCAATTGATTGAATGCCGTACGAGAAGAAAAGATGAAATTGTAAGTTTCGAATAGCGACAGAAACAAGTTGATAGATTCGCGACTGCGTCAAAGTCCTGGCAGGTGCCTCTGTTCGGAAAATCAGTGCGTAGGGGAATGAAACTGCAAAAGACGGCGTCATGCGGCACATTGCGGTCCGTTCCAACCAACACTGATCTATGCTACGCACCTGATTTCTTCCCGCAGCCGGTCCGATTCGGCGGMGGATCGGTCCGCCCGCTCCTTCTCCGCCACAGAGGTTTCCCGGGCGACCTCCGCGGCGAGGGTGGCCTCTCGGAGCTGACCGGAGAGATCGTCCTTGCCCTTGCGCCCTTCCCGCAGGGACGCCTCGAGGCGCTGGATGGTTTCGTTCGAGCCCGCGAGGCTCGATTCTGCCTCCTCGGCCCGGCGGCGGAGCAGCTGGAGTTCCTYCTTTTGCTTCGCCGCACTGTTTTCCATRTCGTCCAGGACGGACTGKAGGACCATCCTGGAGGAGGCCTCACGGGCCAGGTCCCAGGTGGAAGGCTCCGTCTCTTCCGCCTCTTCTGCCGCATGGGTTGCTGTCGTATCCATCGTGGCGGCTGCTGCTGCGGTGTCCTCTCCTCCCTCCGCACCGGCGCCCGTTCCGGCTTCGTTCTGGTTGCCCTGTTCTYGTTCCGACGACGACATTGCAAATATYTTTTCTGTAATTAATAGATCTAGGTTTCCTCCGATGCGGTGAATCGACGATCCTCKGATTTCCAAAGTTGCGTTCCGTGGATAGGATTGCAGTCGTTGGGTATCAGACCAGATCGAAAATCAATCGTATTTGGAATGAGCCCAGTGCTTCGCCGGACGGTTAAGGAGTAACAATGCAGTACTTCTGGCGCTCTACAGTRCAGTTGGTGGAATGTCACGGACGGAATAGCCGATGATTGCTGGGATCATTTACCGGTACGACGCTTCGGTACAGTACTCGTACAATGCCCCGGGACCGATGGTAAAGTAGTAAAAAAAATAAAAAATAACACTGTTTATGAATCGCTACCACGAAACAGTACGATTTGCTCGTGCCGTCGTACGCTGCGCACCGGCTTGCCTTGTTTCTGATGGTGGACTGTCTGCGCGGTTCCCATCGACGGATTTCGAGGATATATCCTGCATCTCTCTTCTCACGACCGATCTSGACTTCCTGCTGTTTGTTGGGAACGAGGTTCGCAGCACCAAACCTAGGGGAACGGAGGACTGACAGACATCTTTATCATTTATTTTATCTTTTGTGTACAGTACTCGTACTACCGGTACGTACCTCCAACGATGGATACTACCTACCTGGTACGAGTACTCGATATTAGACGTAGTTGATGTACTGTAGACAATGGTACGAACTGTACGATACTTCGTGGTAGTACGAGATAGAGATAACAGCATGCAGCCGTAACGGCAATAGTACGTACTCGTAAAAATACAAGTACTGTAGTAGTTTTTCTCGTCTYCAGTAAGAAATCGTATCAAACAAAAACTTGTTTTCTCAAAAACTGTGTTCTCTATTTCTAGATGCGAGAGACCATTGGTACTCTTCTCTTTCTTTGCCTGCAATCTGCTGGTTATACYACTAGGCTTGTGGTTGTTCTTGCGGTTTCTGCTGGACCGGCATGCTGGGGGGAGCTCGCCACCCGAGTTCGTCAAACACGATGCCCAGGAGCCGCTGCCGGGCCACGCAGTCGCTGCTCAGGTGGTTCACGGTCAGGGCCACCACGGCCCGTTCTTCCGGGATCGCCAGCACCACACTGCCACCCACCCCGGAGTGGCCGATCGAGGTTGCCCGCTCGCCRCCGGAACGCACAAAGTTGTGGAGCTGAAAGCCCAGGCCAAAGTCCGACGAGGCATCGTCCAGGACGGCGGCGTTCCCCACTTCCGGTGCCGACGAAGAAGAAGACGACGACGGCGTTCGCGCCTGTGCGAGAATCCCGGGAGACAGGAGKGGGTCCTCYGGACGGACCAAAGCGTCGAAAAAGTGGGCCAGGGCGGATGCCGAAGCGTGCCCGTTTGCCGAGGGAAGCTTCGCCTCTCGGACCTTCTTCATGTTGAAGACCGACGGGTTCATGAGGTGCTGCATCCCGCGGTACTTTGCCAGCATCTTCTTGGCTTCCTTTTTGCGTTCTTCCTCGGTTTTCTCGGCCCGTTCTTGAGTTTCCGCGTTCGGAGCCGCGGCGCGTTCCTTGTTCCGTGTGGAACGGYGTTGTGTATCCCTCCCTTCTTGCCGTTGGTTGCCGCTCCGATTCATCGAGAGMACCGCTAGTTCTCGCTCGTACTCCAGGTCCCGGGAAATACCGGCCAAAAACAGCCTCTGCGTGGTTGGGTCTGTTCCCAACGAGGTGTGCGAGCGAAACAGTTCGTCAAAGAATTCCTCGTACGGCCGGTGGGTCACCGCCTCGATGAGTCCCCCCACCAACCAGGCATACGTCAGGGCGTGGTACAGGGTTTCTGTTCCGGGTTCGTGGCTCGGCTGGGCGTCTTCCGCCATGAATCTGGTCATCTCGGACCAWTCGAGCAGCGTGTCGAGGGTAGCGTCCTCCGGGTAGGCGTTCGAGAGCCCGGCTCGGTGGGTCAGCAGGTGCCGYACGGTTACGGTGGGCTTGGTAGCAAAGGCGGGCCAGTAYTTGCAGACCGGATCGTCGAGGCTCTCGATCCTCCCGTCCTGCACCAGGCGCAGCACGCCAACGGTGAGGACCCCCTTGGAGACGGAAAACACGTTGAAGAGAGTCGATGGCGTCACGGGCCTGGGGTTTGCGACGCCGATCGTTCCCGCCGCGATGTTGGCAATCTCCTTTCCGTCYCGGAGGACACACAGCTGCAAACCCACCATGTGGCCTTCTTTGGCGAGGAGGGGGAGGGCCTCGCGCAGTTTTTYCTCGAGATCGGTCGAAASTCTGCTGCCGCTAGTGGCGTYGTCCCCCGCAAGCGGSGGGCAATCGCGGTGCACCAGGGTTGTGGCGTGCTCTTCGATGGGGACCGAGGACTTGAGSGTCTCCCGTGCCGCCACGGCCATCGTTTGCAGGTATGGGTAGCTCACGTCGAGCTGCGAGCACAACCCCCTCAGCATGTTGGTGACCCGGCCGAAAAAGACCAGCTCGGACGGCCAGGCCTCGACYGGGTTCCGCAGCTTCTGGCCCTTCTCGAGCCCCTCCTCGGTGCGCTGTGCCTCCACYCGTCTTTTGTAGTCGGCGCTTTTCTGCTTGCGGGCGTCCCTGGCCCGGGATTGCGGAACCGTGTCCCCAAAGCCGCGCTGCATGTTCGCCATGTCCTCCATTGGGTCGTGCCGGTTCATCTTGAGGCCCATTTCCTCGAAGCTCCTCAGCAGGGCGTCGACGTCGCCCTCGTAGGACGAGTGCATGAGGCGGGCAAAGGCGAGCTTGATGGGCGGGTCCAGCCGCTTGGTCAGACCAAAGTCCAACAAGACCGGTACCGAGGCGTCCTTTGGGTCCGCCGTCGACACCAGTATGTTGGCGCCGTGTGGGTCGGCGTTGAACAGGCCYCCAACGTGCATCTGGACGGCCCAGGCCCGGCAGACCCGCTCTAGGAGGAGTTCCCGGTCAACCCCGCGCTCGTCCATCGAGGCCGTGTCCTTGACCGGAAAGCCGTGGCAGAAATCCATCACCAGAACGCGCTTCCGTACCAGCCCCTCGATCGTTTCCGGAACGATTGCCGTGACGTTGTTGGAGCGCAGCTCGCTCCGGACCTCGTCCATGTTTGCCGCCTCGGTTCGAAAGTCGAGTTCTTTTTTCACCTCCAGGTTGTATTCTCGGATGATGGGACCAAAGTCCAGATCCGGATCCGTTTTGGCCAGGAGCTCCAGAATGACACGGAGGTTTTCCATGTCCTGCAGCATGAGCGAGGCGACGCCCCGGTGCTGGACTTTCAGAACCRCCTCCCGGGGTGCACCRGTCCCACTAGAATCTTCCGTTGGTTTCAGGGTGGCCCTGTGGACCTGCGCCAGACTCGCCGTCGAGAGGGGTTCCGGATCGATCGATTCGATGAGCTTCAAGCCCTYGGGCCCCAGTTCCTCCGAAATCGTGGCCAGGACGTCMCCGAAGGGTTTGGGGGGCATCGARTCCTGGAGCTCGGACAGGGACGCAATGTATTCCGGTGGCATAATGTCGGCGCGGGTGCTCAGGTACTGGCCCACCTTGACCCAGAATCCGGCCAGGCCCTTGATCTGCGAGAGCAGCCTCGACGCGTTCGTTTCGTGGACACCGGACCAGAAGGCGAGGACCTCGGGATGKTCGTCGCTTTCGTTGTCGTCCTTTGCCCCGGAGGGCGAGGACGACCACAGACCCAGCCGTTTCTTGAGTCGCTTTGCCCGGTAGTTCGCCCACTTGTAGTCGACAAAGACTCGAAAAGCTACCCAAAAGACGGTGCACCGTCGAACGAGTTTCTGGATCGCAGTCGGTTCTCGGTTGCTACTGTGTTTGTTGCCGCTGCTTCCTGTGCTCGCCAACAGCGAGGAAACGGAGGGGTTGCGCTTGCTCTGGCCCATGGCTGCCGCTTTGCCGTCGGAGGCCGGCAACAACTGGGACGATTCGTCCAGCAAGGGACTGGTCAGRTTTGTTGAATCTTTTGAAGTCACAGACGACATCGCCGAAGCTAATGCTTTAGCAGACAATCCCCGCTTTTTGGCTTCGCTCGCACCAACTCCAACACCRGTCGGCGATRCRARGCTAGCAACCAGAGAAAAAGCTCCGAGAAATACCAGGAAACGAAGGAGATGGCAAACTGCRRCGAACGTGTGGTGATTCTTTGTCGCTAGCGCCGTGGACATGTTCAATCCACACACAAAGGCTCTCTTGTCGATGCGGTGAACAATTTCTTGGGTCTCKACCGCTCTCGTTCTGCTCCCTCGCAAGGTGTGTGCCACGATTCCGGGACGACAGGACAAGGAAAGGAAGGGTATCGAAGAAAAACTTTTTTCTGCGAATAGGCGTTTCGGCCTTGGCCATGATGACGATGAATGTTCTCCCCTTCCGATCGGGGGTATTGAGGACTAAGTCTGTCCATGGTCAACGACGTGCATCGGTTCTGGTTTTTGAAATTTAAAATTAACGACTGCAACTACGAGCTCCCTACGACCGTACGTAGTAAATGTACGAGCTTCATTCATTTTACGAGAGGATTCGCAGTTCATATCCTACCGGTAGTTCTTCGCGACAAAGCCCATCCATTCCAAACGAACGGAGTCCAAAGGACCGCCGCTGCCATTGCTTTTGCCGCTCCTACGCCGAAGAGKGCAGCCCCGAGATGGAACCCCCGCCACCGATCGGCACCGCACCGAGACCCGAAGCGAAGGAGAGCAACCGCTCGGGCAACAACGACGGCGACGAGCCCCACCGCGGCTCCCCCGAGTCGGCGGGCCTCGCCCGGGGACTCGCCCGGTCCGCGGCCCGGAAGGGTGCGAGCCGCGCCGCGGTGGGCCGGCTCCCCCTCCGCCCACCCKCCGCGGCGGGAAGGGCGTCCACCGCGAACGTGGCAAAGAGCGCCGCCCGGATCCGGAGGCTCGCCAGGGTTTCCGACCGAGCGGCCACCGGGTTCGACGTCGTGGCGGAGGCCCACAGCGCCGCGGGGGGAACGCCGGYCGGGAGCCGCGGGGCCCCTGCRCAACCAGGCTGGAAGGCCAGGGCATGGGCGTTTGGGGCCGGCCTCACCAAGAGCACTATCCTCGGTGCCGCCGTGTTTGCTACCTACGAGGGAATGGTGGATTATCGCCCATCGGGAGACACCGAAGGCGGTTCCGACCCGGGTTCTGTCGGGGACAACATTTGCTCTGCCGCCGAGGAAAACTCATCTTCCCTGCTGTGGCACTATGGATCTGGATTTTGTGCAGGGAGTGTCCACGCGTTCCTCGGGCGTGCCATCGAAGGACTCGCCTCTTTCTCGTCGGCAGCGATGGCCCGGAATTCTAGAACGACAGCGGCAGCAGCCACATCCGCACCGAGCCCGGCGTTTATGCCCTATTTGCTCCACCACGGTGCTTCCCATACGGTACTCTTTGGATCGTACGAAACGATCAAGCGGCTGGGGCTGGGCCTCGCACCCGAGGAATCGGAACACGAAACGGAGGACAATCCCGGCCTCCTGGACCGAAAGCTCGCCACGGTGGCGATTGCGGGGGGAATCGCGGGGATCGGYCAGCAGCTGGCGGCCGACTGGACGGAGAGGGTGATCGAGGTGSTCGGCAGGGAGAAGGCCACCGGCGGGGCCACGGGGATTCTTCCCCACGGCAAAGATCTGTGGTCGGCCGCGACCAAGCTTCCGAGCTACAGCGCTCGAACCCTCTGGATGGTATCGCTTCCCACGTCGATCGGCTTTGTGGCGTTTGAGTACGGACGGGAAGCCGTTTCGGGCGAYGCGTGACKTGCTTGTTTGGATGGTCAAACGTYCACCGGTGCCAAGGACGGGGTCTTCCTCCGMAGGCAACTAAAGATGTTTGAATTTCGGACAACCCAGTCAGTCGGAAAGATTGACAAWTATCCCTCTCGTTCAAGCCGGCYTGATCGAACAGGAAGGCAGGCAACGAAACAGAGGCGCGTCTGTTTGATCGCCTTTTTGKTAMACTTTTTGCTCCTGTGATTGATTTCYGTCGAGCGACAGAGGTCGTCTCCACAGCGCCCGAGGGCAACCTTTCATCGTGGTTTGCTTCCAAGAGAGCCGCAGGGTTTTTCTCTGGATTGCATTGCCAGTACTAGGAGTGCCATACACGTGGTGTGGATCTATCGTGATGCAATAGAATATTTTAATAAGGCGTAGCATGACCCAGATTGTGATCACTACTTCTAGCAAACGAGTTTTTTHCCTCCCAAACACAGTTATTTCGGAACAGTTACTGTATTCCAAGATTGGAGCGGATGTCTACTATTCATATGATAGTTACATACGATGATGTATTTTTCCCACATTCAATGCTCCACTCTACTGTATGGTCGGTAAGTACAAACGGACGAGTAGCGTACAGTACGAACATAAAATTTGACGACAATATTGACCCTAAYCCTTGCGTAGGAATGAAATTTCTATCGAACAGAGAGAAAAAGCATAAAGCACGACTCAACAATGTTGTCCTGGAGTCGTGAGRTGTCTTGCGTGGAAACGAAACGGAGTTTTCGCACGATCGATGCGGGTATGAAGTACGTACAAAGGGTACTACTAGTAACAGTTCCGGACATGCATCTTGCCTTCCGAATTCGATGGGTTGTCACTGCAAAAGGTATGTATGCTCTTTAGTGTCGTATAACTACGTGTTTACAATAAAGAGTGGGTGAGTTGAGTGTTGAGTGGATGCGCTGTTCGCTGTCACTCACTATTCACTCGTGAATTACGTGATTTACTACGTGGTATTACCTCACACCTCCCCGCACTTGCAGAATCTAGAGACTCATTCGATTCAAAATTGCCGTATCGTAGTAAATTTTGAAGAGGATCTAGATTGCAAGTGGAGCAAAATTTGTGTATTTTCGTGGGTATAGTTGCTGTATCCTCAATAATAGGGGACTGTTGGGGGAGTGATAGGCATTTGTCCGCATAGTTTGGTTTTAGGCGTCCCATGAAGATATCCGTATGTTCATAGAATTTTGTTCTGCCAGTTGGTTTGCTCAGTGAGTCACTGTAGTTTTCATCAGATCGAGTTTCTATAAAATTGATATGTTCATCATCTGTCCATTGAAGTATAACAAAATGTTTCATTTCTACGTGTCTTGTTCTCCGGGTTGGTTGGTGTGCATTAGCCATTCTTACAGCACCATGGTTGTCAGCTATAATAGGAGTGGATTTTGTTTGTGGAATCTTCAGTTCTTCCAGGATCCATCGGAGGTAGATTGCTGCTTTTCCGGCATCTGCCATATTAGTGAATTCTGCTTCAGTTGAACTTTGTGCCACTGTTGGTTGTAGGCGAGTCCGATAGTAAACTGCTGCTCCAGCCAGCATCATGATAACCCCTCCCATCGAGCGGCGTTGGAGTCTATCTGAGGCCCATGTAGTGTCACAGGATCCATGGATCTGTAGTGGGTCCGTTGATTGATAAAACTTACCGAGGGTTTCGATATTAGTGAAAGGAGTGGGGTGTTGTTCATGTGGAAGGTCCAGTCTGGGTTCTGGGCGCCAGTATGTTAATCCTTCTTCTTTAGTGGCCAGGAGATATAGGAAGACCTGTTTTATTGCCTCAAAGTGGATTTTAGCAGGGTTGTGGGAGTGCTGACTGAGGGTAATAACAGCAATAGAGATATCTATCCTACAAATTGTGAGGGCATAGATTAGTTCTCCTATACACTGTCGATAGCTGAAACCCTGCGAGTGTTGAAGTCGGAGGGCTTCCAAGGGGTCGATTGGGCCTGTTGAGAGCTGTATTTGGCGTTGATATGCTGGGGATTCTTTCATTGGTGTGGGTCTTTTCCGAGTGCGATTGATGTGACTTGCATTCCAACCATGGTGTTCAGCTATTTTCTCTATATATGTTCGACAGTGGAGATGGTTGTAGTGTCTTGTTTGGTTAACGTGAATCCCATTGAATTTTCGTATGGTACCCAATATATTGAGGGGATTGGTCATTCGAGCTTGGATTTGTTGTCGGATTCGGTCACAAACGCTTTCACTTGAGTTTGCAATGAGGAAATCATCCACTTGTCTGAGGATGAGTGTGAGACCCGTATCGTCATGTTTGTAATACAAGCATGGTTCATGTGTCGTTGGTTTGAATCCCAAGTCATTGATTAGTATTCCTGAGATATATTTGTCCCAAAGTCTCGGCGCCTCCGGATGGCCTTGGAGTGCTTTTTGGATTGGTATCACTTGACCAGGTTGTATAGGTTCTTTGTGAAGGCACTCAGTCCACCATTGTTGAAAGGGTTCATCTACTTTCATGTAGAATGGAGATTTTGGTGCTGGAGCTTCTGCAAATGCATTGCCTACATCGTATCCAATGCATATGAGGTTAAGTGCAGCTGCGAGGGCCCACGTGAGTCTGTGAATAGGTTGTTCAACACAGGCTGCATAGGTTTCAGCCAGTGTAACTGCTTTGCCATATCGTTTGCCTCCATTGCAAGTACCTCTGGATTTTGGTTCTGCCTCACCGGTGAGTGGATTTTCTTTTTCAATATAGGTCCACACCCATGGTAACACAGTCATATCCGGTGTTGAGTCTACTGGTGTGCCGAACATGCCTACTTTGTCATAGCGGTTTAGTTGTTTCCATTCGGAGTGGAGGAATTTGTCCCATTTTGGGGTTTGCATGAGTTTACGGCGAGTGAGTTTGGAGATCCGGATTTGGTTTGAAGCCGTTGTTTGGGAGTCTATTGGGCTTGGCCAGTTTTGTTTGTCAGGCCATAGGTCCTGTCCGTAATTGAGGCTGTGGAGGTGATGGGCAATGACATTGAGCTGGTCTGCTTGCAGGGTTGGTACACCCTCGCCACTTAATGCAAATCCAGTAAGTGATCCAAAGGTGAACTTTACGGTTGCTCTGTGTGTGTTTTTGGCCTGGCGTATTGCATTGATTATATCCTGTTGATTTGCTATTGGTTTGTCATCAACTTTGGTGAGTATGGTACCTCGAAGTCTTCTTTTCCATCCTCTGATTCTAGTGTGTGCAATGGATCCAATTTGGATTGATGATAATTCCATGGCGTTGGATATGTCGGGGTGACTGTTGAGGATGAATCCCATCGTTGGGTGAATGGTATTGGTGTTTTTAAGGGGTAATGTATGGGATGTCTCCTTCATGTATATGTTCGTTGATATGTCTAGGGTCTCCAGTTCTGGGATGAGAGCTGATATAGCAGGTCTCTCAAATTTTGTTTTTCGGATGGTCGCAATAACTTTGGCCGCTGCAGCGGTGGTGTAGGATGTTGGTGAGTCCTGGATAATCTCCTGGATCAAATGGTCTGGGTTGCGTTGTCGTGGGTCCTGGATGTTTAGTTTTATTGATTCGGGCTCCGTTTTGGTAGTATGATTGGTGTGGTTGTCTTCTGTGAAGGTTTCCAGCAAGTGGGAAGCAGCTGGGGAGCGGTTCTGTGGTGTGTCTCCATACTGTAATTCATCCTTTGAATCATGTCTGGCAATCTTATCTGTGCCAGTGTGGATGTCAAAGTATTTGATATTATCTGTGGTGGGTCCATAGCCTAGAAAGATGCCATCATAAGCCCAAGGGTGTGTGGTGGTGGGACGATTTCCTGGTCTTTTAGCTGTTATTTTGGAGCCAAAAGTGATGAGGTTGTCAACCAGGGGGACTTKTCCCGTATAAAGTTGGAGAGGAGTCATGTCGATGGCAGAGTGGTATGTCCTATTATAGAGCCATGTTGCATGGAGAAGTGCATCTGTCCAGTATTCGGTGCCCAGGCCTGCTGCATAAAGGAGGCAACGGATGCGTTCTTTCAGAGTGCGATGTGGTCTTTCAGCCAGTCCATTTTGAGATGATGTATCTGCTGCAGTTGAGATAGTAGTATAGCCATGTTGAGCAATGGTGGACTTGAAGGAGTTTGAGTTGGCGAGTTCGCCTCCACCGTCTGTCATAACTGTGCAGTCAAGGTGTTGGGGGAGGAGATCAAGGAAGTATGTTTTGTCTTGAGGGTCTATTGCGTAGGCATGGTCCTTGGCTGTTTGTCTAAATGCTCGTGATCTKGCTAGATAGCCATCATCTGTGGTGGTGATGATTGCTTTCCGTGGGTCTGTGGTGTTGATTCCATGCTTGGTGAGAAATTGGTCGATAATCATGAGTGGTGGCTCCTTGGATTTAATTGGGAAGGTCCATAGTGCTCGTGTAGCCGCATCGATGATGGTGAGAAATCCTATGTGTCCCTGTCTGCTTTTCTTCAGGGTTGGCATGGGTTTTTCATTCCTGTCCAGCATCCCTTTTAGGTTCGGCGGTCCTGTAACAAAGGAGAGATCCATGTGAAGTGATTGCATAGGAATTAGTTTTTCTTTTCTAGGTTTGGTCTTACCGGAATATTTTGTCATCTTGCTCTTTTCGCAAAATGGGCATCGAAAGTATGGCGTTGATGTTGGCAGTGGTGGCATTCCATCCACAACTTTCTGTGTTTTGACTAGTGTCGTTGGAGAGGCATGTCCATATCGTTGGTGCCAAAGTTCAAGATTCTTGAGTGCGTTGGAGAGTCCAGAGGACCATGTTTTGGTGCAGCTGTTAGTATTGTCGTGAGGTGTGCTCGTGGTTTGGTGGACAAAGTGGCCCGTCATTTTACTTATTTTCGTTTTATACTGTTGGAGCTCCGTTGCTATATGGATATTCTCCATAGCGTTAACGATGAGGACTTTGTTTGTTGTGTACCACAGTCCATTGTCAAGGCTTACTGTTTGGATAGATTCAACAGTATCGTTGAGCTTGTTTATGAAGCTTACAGTTCCTCGGCCGTTTGCACGTCCTATCTGTAGGAATCCGTAGTGATTACGTGTAATCCGGTAGTGTTCCGGTGCTAGGACTGTGCCCGTAGATTGTGGTGTGTACAGTGTACGCCAACGCATAGTATTGCCTTGATCTGAAATGATGCACATGTAGCCTTCACCGTATGCATGTAGTGTGTTGGCTGGTGTGGCGTCCACGGAGAAGACTCCAACGGGTTCTGGTTTATTATATGATATATAGTCATGTAATAAGTTTAGTTGATTCGTGGCAGACATATTTGCGCCCGTATCTGCCTGTGGTGAGTCGGTGGGGTGTTTCGTGGTGGCGTTATTTGTGTGTGTGGTCGCAATAAGGATGTGTTTCCTCATATTTTTCCTAAGTGTCGAGTGGGTCATGCG